AGCACTGGCCGCCCGCCAGCCCGGCCCCGCTCCCCGGCGCCGCTCCCCATCCCTCTTGCTCTGCTCAGCCCGCTTACCAGCCTGGAGACGCCGGGGTACAAATAATCTCTGTATCGCAGATGTCCGGAGCTCCCAGCGGACTTTAGTTCCAGTTCCAGTCCAGGAAAAGATTCTTGTTCCGAGGAGGAAGCGGTGTAAAAGCTAGCTCTGGGGAGTCTGAGCTGGGGTTGCCCTGGAGAGCGCGATGCGGCTGCGCGAGGAGATGGGGCGCGCCAAGCTCTCCACTTTGGCCAACAGCGGCGCCCAGAGTCCTCACTGGGAAACTGCAGCCTCTGCTGCTTCAGTCTAACTAAAGCAAAAATTACAATTGTGTACCTATCTGAACACGCCGTGTTTTTACGTTCACATAGGTAACAATAAATGATAAAGCCCTCTTTAAGGTACTTCATATTGTTTCCAAATTGTTAGAAATATCGCATGTATTTTTATACAGGCCTTCATATATTGGTTCATTCTTTCACAATTCTATAAACATACCTTGAACTCTCACCTAGAAATAAGTAGTGCCCTTGTCATTGGCAATGTAATAATGGATAAGATACAGACTTTGCTCTCAGAGGGTTCATATTGTATACTGACATTACAAATTCATTTATATTTGTTTGCTATGACATGTAGAAAAAATTTGTATCCTTCTTTTATTGATTCCAATGATCCTCACCTCCCAACATTTGTAGGCAATCCATGCCATTTTGTACTACATATACTAGGGAAAATCAACACTGTTGAAAACTATTTTGTAAGGTTATGTAATTTTGTGCCAGTCCCCAAACAGGTTCTCTTCCCGACAATACCAACACTCTTTATAAACATAATTTTTATTAGCCTGAAAACTAATTTATTGTGATTCTTCAGGCTAAGTAGTATTCATTCAAGAATACCACCCATATGATGTAGTCAAGATATGATATACCCCGATAAGTCCCTCTTCTTCATATCTCAAAATTGCTTGACTTATGTCATACCTTTTACAGTACACAAATTCATTCTTAAAAGTAGAAATGCTTTTCTAGGCTGTAGAAATGCTTTTCTAGACTGCAATACAAACTCACAAAGAGATTCATAAATTGCATTAGTTCTCTATGTACATTAATTATACTGAAGTAATGGTTTTGGAATTGGAGAAATTAAGCTCATGGTAAGTTTATTTACATAAATGTACTGAATATAGTGATATTGGTTTAATTTTTTTGTCCATTCATTAAATTTTTTTAAATAGCCACATTTTTAGGGAGAGTAAGGATTTTCTTTCCTCCAGGGCAACTTTCTTCACAATTTAAAAAATTGCAGTGTCAATAATATAGTTTTCACAAATGACTGTGCACCCACCTAAATGCTACCGAAAGTATGAAGTTAACTCCCATTCCACTGTCTGTGCAACAGACAATGGAACACTACACAATCCTTGGGAAATAATATTACCACTAGTAGCAAAAGATTTCTTGTGTCATCCACTTCCACTTTATGACAGTAAAATTAGCCTCCAACTCTTGGGCTCAAGTGGTCCTCCCACCTCAGTCTCCCAAAGTGCTGGGATTTCAGGTGTGAGCCACCATGCCAGGTCAAGACTGAATAATTTTTTTTTTTTTTTTGAGTTGGAGTCTCACTCTGTTGCCCAGACTGGAGTGCAGTGGCCGCTCCCGGCCACCGCAGCCTCAACCTGCTGGGCTCCGGCGATCCTTCCGCCTCAGCCTTCCGAGTAGCCGGAATTACAGGCATGCGCTATCACGCCCGGCTGATTTTTTGATTTATTGTATAGATGAGGTCTCGCTGCCCAGGCGGGTCTTGAACCCGCAGGCTCAGGCAATCCACTCACCTCAGCCTCCCAAAGGCGCGGGATTACAGGCTGAGCCACCAAGCCCAGCCTGAATAATTTTTAATTGAATTTCTCAGCTTGTTTAAAATTTGTGAACCTGAAACTTTTGTTCTTAAAATCAACATTCTCAAGCTCTTTCACCATTTCACATGGATGCACAATCAAAACAGATCACTGGAATTTTATTGACATATGTTCTTTTGTATTTTACAAAAGCTGCTTTCAACAGTTTAAAATGACATTTTATTTCAGATATAATGTTGTTGCTTTGGTTTTCTGTTGAAGGGGGCAATGGACATTTTGGGCTTTAGATTTCATGTCTCCCTTGATATGGGGCCAGGGTGACGACTGACACACACACGTAACTTTTAGGAACCAATCTAATCTTCCACCAAGACCCATCCACTAACATTTGTTCATGCTTTGGAAGGTGGTTAGAAGCTGTAAAATTTTGAAGGGCACTGATGAAGAAGCAGGGTTCAGAAAAGAGGTATAAAGTGAAGAGATCTTCAAAAACCTCATTATTGTTTAAAATTCTAAACACAAATCTAAGAATTCTGAGATGTATTCTACTTTTACCAAGCTAATACAAGTCTTTGAACATCTCATTTTTTTTTGCAGTTATAATTTAGGATATATATATGTGTGTGTGTGTGTGTGTGTATACATATATTTACAGTAAAGTTACCTGTATGAGTGGGTAGGTACTACTTAAGTAAATGAGTGATAATAGCGATAAAATAATGAAAGGCTTAAAAGGATCGCACAATTTTGCCTAAGCCTTTCAAAAGTGGATGAAACAACAACCCATGACTATGAGAGTCCAACTTTGTAGTAACACCACTAAAATAAACCCAGTAAACCCACAACATTGTGTTATGCCTTTAAAGTTATTTTAAACTATTCTCACATATCTTTTTCAATACATATAAATTCAATTTATACCTAATAAAATCCCTCTGGGAAATAAAAGCAAGCAATGGACTGAACTCACCTGAGTAGAAGCAGCTTCATCCTTATATTCATGAAAATCTACAGATGTTAACAAAGAATCCTTTTTCTCACAGCTCTCCTGGCTGATGAGCGTGTCTGCATAGTTGGGCTGGGGGAAGATCAGATGACTCTTCCCAGAGTCTGCAGTGAGGGACACCTGGTGGGAATAGGTTTGCAGAAAAGCCTGTACCTCATCAACACCTACAAAATGGGAAGCAGGCATGCCTGCCAACCCACCTCTGGAAGCCTGAACCAGGCGTGACTTGTGCCAGCGCTGCAGCTTGAGGGCCAGTAGCACAAGGACAAAGGCAAGGAAGACACAGGAGACCACAGCCACTGCCACCACCAGGTATAGGGTGAGGCCTGAGTCATCTGAGTCCACTGAGGGCTCGAGGCTGCCCAATTCTGCCAGGACTTCGGGTATCCTGTCGGCCACAGCCACAGTGAGTGTGACAGTGGCTGAGAGACGGGGCTGGCCATGGTCCTGCACAGCCACCACAAGGCTCTGTTTGAGTGCATCTCTGTCCAGCAGGGCCCGCACAGTGCGCACCTCACCTGTGTGCAGCCCCACCGTGAAGAGCCCAGGCTCACTGGCCTTGAGGAGGCGGTAGGACAGCCAAGCATTCTGGCCTGAGTCTCTGTCCACCGCCACCACCTTAGTCACCAGGTAGCCAGGCTCTGCAGAGCGGGGTGCCAGCTCCACACCCGTGGAACCATCTGTGGGGAGGGTGGGGTACAGGATCTCAGGTGCATTGTCATTCTGGTCCAGCACAAACAGGCTCAGTGAGACATTGCTGCTGAGCGGTGGGTTCCCACCATCACTTGCCATCACCAGTAACTGCAAATTGTGGATCTGTTCATAGTCAAAAGATTGCAACGCATACAGGACACCAGTATCTGAATTGATGGAAATGTAGGAGGATAGGGGCACCCCCTGAAGGGTGTCTTCAGTCACAGAGTAAGTGACCTGCGCATTGTTCTCACTGTCAGGATCATGTGCAGTAAAGGAGAAGATGGATGCACCTCTAGGGTTGTTCTCTGGGATATAGGCTGAATAGAAGGCATGGGGAAAAGTAGGCGCGTTGTCATTAATGTCTGCCACATGAAGGCTGATGTGAGTTTCCATGGACAGAGACGGGGTTCCTAGATCTGAAGTCATCACTGTGATATTGTAGATAGAGACTTTTTCTCGGTCTAAATATTTCCATGTCACTAATCTATAATAATTATCGATTGACTTTTCTAATTTAAAAGGTAAATTATCTTGTGTGTAACAGACAACTTGACCATTCTTCCCAGAGTCTCGGTCATGCACACTTAAAAAGGCTATTACTGTCCCAGGAAGAGAATTTTCCAACACCGGGCTAAACAGAGATGTAATGGTCACTTCGGGTCTATTGTCATTTACATCCTCCACTGAAATGAGCACTTTGGTCCTCCCCAGAAGTGCCCCCACATCTTCGGCCTGTATTTCCATTTCATAAGATGAACATTCTTCGTAATCCAAACTTTTTGCTGTTGATATTTCCCCAGTATTTTCATTCAGTTGGAAGAATGGAGATTGTTTTTCATTACTTTTCCGGAATTTATATGCCACTTTTCCGTTGGTTCCTTCATCCGGGTCGCTAGCTGTTACAGTAAGCAGCCGGGTGCCAGGGGGCACGTTCTCAGGGACTTTCACTCGGTAAATGGGTTGAGAAAAAACAGGGGCATTGTCATTTGTATCCAACACTGTCACATGGATGCGCACTGTGCTGGAGCGACGCGGGTCGCCGCCATCGGAGGCGGAGAGGACCAGGTGGTGAGCAGCCTCTTCCTCTCGGTCCAGGGCGCGCTCCAGCACCAGCTCTGGGTTTATAGTCCCATCGTCTCCAGTTGCAGTTTGCGTGTCCAGGGAGAAATGATGATTGGGGCTGAGCTGGTAGCTCTGTAGGGAGTTCACGCCCACATCCAGATCAACAGCTTCTGGGAGTGGATAACGTGCCCCGGGAACAGCGATTTCATTAATTTTTACTTCCACGTCTTCGACCTGGAATCTCGGGTTATTATCGTTAATGTCAATTATTTCAATTTCTATCCCAAATAGTTTTCCTATATCTTCAATCAGAATATTAATATTTATCAGACACCGCGGACTTTGAGCGCAGAGCTCCTCCCGGTCTATCCTCCCCGCGGTCACCAAGCTGCCACCCCGCGGGTTCAGAGCGAAAAGCTGCGTCCTACCTCTGGAGACGATGCGGATTCCGCGCTCCGCCAGCTCCCGGGGCTCCAGCCCCAGGTCCTTGGAGATGTTGCCCACAAAAGACCCTTTGTCCGTCTCTTCTGTCACTGAGTAGCGAATCTGTCCTGTCCCGGTCTCCCACAGCGTCCCCAGCAGTGCGCAGAGCAATACCAGCTTGTGGCGTCCTGGGTGATTCTCTGGAGCGGCCATTGTTGTTTCGCTACAGAATCCTTTCAGAATCTTCACCGTGCGTATGTGTCTTGTTTTAGCTTTTTGCCGCAGCTATGGTGATCATAATCTTTCGGAAAGCTGGAATGCCCCAAAGTGGGGACAGAGTTTTGCAGCAGGGCAGCAGTTAGTATGTGGGATCCGCGGGTCTTTGTGAGGGTTGAGTCTTGAGTATTGGATAGGGTTTCGGTTGCATTTCTCTCTCAATAGGTGAACAGCGGCGCTTAGAGTCCTAAGCAGTTACTGCATTTATATACTGATTATACTTAGTTATGTAATGCTCTGCTAAGATTATCGAGAAAAAAAATACTATTTGCTTTTTATTACTTTGTTCTGAATTTATTTGATTTGTCTACAAATCCATATTTTAAAAGGAACTGCCAAAGAATGTGGGATAAGGGTTTTATTAAGTATTGGTAAATGATCAGAATGTTGGCATAGCATCATATTAAATTAGTCACATTTCTGGAAAACATTTGGCTTTTTTTTTTTTTTTTTTTTTGAGTTGGAGTCTCACTCCTTCGCCCAGGCTGGAGTGCAGTGGCACGCATGCTCACGGCCGCCCCAGCGTCGACCTACTGGGCTCCAGCGATCCTTCTACCTCAGCCTTCCAAGTAGCTGGAACATTTGCTCTTTAAAAAAAAACTAAATATGATCATTTCATTCCATATTGTGCTTTAAGCTTTGTCGTTAAAGTATATTCAATATATATTATCAAATAATTAGGAACTCCACGTGTCACTGGAAATGAATTCATTTTAAGACTAAACGAAGCCAGGTTCGGAGGCTCAGCCTGTAATCCCACGCCTTGGGAGGCTGAGGTGAGTGAATTGCCTTAGCCTGCGGGTTCAACACCTGCCTGGACAACTTGGTGAGCCCTCATCTCTACAAGAAATCAAAAAATTAGCCGGGTGTGACAGCACGTGCCTGTAGTTCCAGCTACTTGGAAGGCTGAGGCAGAAGGATCACCAGAGCCCAGCAGCCTGGCCACTGCACTCTAGTCTGGGCGACAGAGTGAAACTTCAACTCAAAAAACAAAACAAAACAAAAACGACTAAACTAGACTTGTTGGAGATGATTGACTCAGAAATTATTCCTTTTAATTTAAAATAGTTAACCACTATAAAAGCTTTCTAAGCGTTGCTGTATTAAAATTTTCTTTCTAAATGGCATTTTAATTACACATTGATAATGTTTTCAAATAAACATTGTGAAATTTCAACAGGATAAATGCTTTTAAAGTTGTAATTTTGTGAGAGATTATATTGGTTTGCTATTTTATTTAAATTATTTATATATTTTTTCCTTTTTTATTATAAAGACATGGGGTACAATTCAGGCTTAGGTATACAAATGTTGGTTATGCAGGTACCCTTGTTGATGAGGTGTGCCCCTCCCTCCCCTAGCAGTTTCCCTCAACTGCCAATCCCGTCCACTCCCTAAATTATTTATATTTTTATATGAACAGAAAATTCTTGAAAGATACAAATGAATATACAACAAAAACAAAGCTCCAACCTATTCCTTCCACCAAAGAGAAATGATTACATTTTAAAGTAGATTTAACTTTTTAAGGCAGACATGTATCCCAAAGTTGTTCTTACCTATATTAATACTTTGATCTAAAGAACCACAAAAAGTAAGGAACACATAATAATCACTAATAGGTCAAACAGCAAGTGCATCCACAAAAAGTATATTTTCTGCAGCAGTTTGTAAAGTGGTCATTAACCGAGACAGTTACTTAGAGATACCTAGCAAAGGGATCATATCATGTCCTATGATATTTTGTATATCCAGTACTTGTGTGCACATCAGATTGGGATTTTGTCTAAAAACTTCAAAAATTCAAGAATTCTATCCTAGAGATAGCAGAATGATTAGAAGATCTCTAACTATATTAGTTTGGAGCTGCAAAAAAGGCAGTGAAAGATTATATATTAGGATGTATTTGAGAGGAGCAATACAGCCAAGGCATTGCCTGTCTTTTCTTTGATGGAGGAGCCTATTGCATGAGTCTCAATACAGATTAGTCCTGAAAAATCCACGATGCAAGTAAGGAGAACATGCTTTGATCTTCTAATGAGTGTAATGAACCTTTTGCTAAGTAAAATGGTCACGCACACACACACACACACACACACACATGGGGTACACTGCATGCAATTACAAGGGTACCATGGACATAAAAATCATTTATGATTCCTTGTTCTGGGAGATTTTGAAACAAAAAGGAAGTAAATGCAAGAAACAAACCATCCAATTAGTACAAAAACCATACCAGTTAAACCGGCAAAGAAAAATATCTAACTTTAGCTTGAATTCTTTTGTTTTAAAGGTTTACTTAAATGATTGTTTTTGATGGCTGTCGTGTGTCCAAATTATAAAAAAGCATTCATCAAATATTAGGCAACAGGAATTAAAATGTCTGGAAAAACATCTCATTAGCTTTTTTGCAGAGAGCCAATAACATTGTCTAATGTTTTCGACTTGTAGGTAAAATCACACCCTTATTGCTTTGCAAATCTGAGCTTGGTAGAAACCCTTGTAGGCCACACAACTGCCCCCACCTCACCCCTCCTTTGAAGAATGGCATGACAGCTTTTTAACTGACTACAACTTTCTTAAAACAACTCTCAAGATCTGAAAATTCTATATTTCCTTGTGAACATGTATATTTTCTTGTGAAGATGAAGAACTGGATAGATGATGAGAAGTAGGTTAAGCTGAAAGGAAACTCACCTGGTGGGAAGTCGACTCACTGGAATTACAAAGTGGAAATAAGGCCCCAGATGAATCACCACAAAGTATGTCTTGTCCTGAACTCAACTGCTCACTACATTTTAGGAAATTAAACTCCGTCTTTCCTGTGTGCGCAACGCACAGATTGTAGGAATAGGGCAAAGTGCCTTCACTGTAGTTGGGGGGAACCACTGGCCCAGACTTGGAGCAGAGACCAGGCTGAAAGCAGCTCCAGGTAGTGGAGTTAGAGGAGCGTCTCAGGCGCAGGGCGATGGCCAGGATCACCGCGAGGAGGAAAAGCACAGAGATCAAAGCCAAGGCCACTACCAGATAAAACTGTAGCTCCGCCTGGGGGTCAGAGGGTGGAGGGCGATCGTTGAGGTCTGGTAGTACCTCTTGCAGACTATCTGCGAAGACCAGGTGCAGCGTGGCGGTGGCCGAGAGGGGCGGCTGTCCTCCGTCACGCACCGCGACCAGCAGGCGCTGACGGGCCGCGTCCCTGTCGCCCAAAGCGCGCGCCGTGCGCACCTCGCCCGTGCGCAGCCCCAGGCTGAAGAGCCCGGGCTCGCTGGCCTGCAGCACGTGGTAGGACAGCCAGGCGTTGTGTCCCGAGTCGGCGTCCACCGCCACCACCTTGGTGACCAGGTAGCCGGGCTCCGCGGCGCGCGGCACCGTGTCGAAAAGCGCGGAGCCGTCGGGCCCCAGCGCGGGGTAC